CAGCCTACAGAAGTTTAGAGCACAGAAGCTGAAGGAGTAAACAATCGATTATCAACATTAAGATAATCGATTATCTGAGCCTGCAGAAGTTTAAGGCAACTCAGGCGCAAACTCCAACAATCGATTTACCAAAACATGATAATCGACTATTGAAGACTGCAGGACCATCAGCGGAGAATATGAGGCATCTGATAATCGATTTACAACTTATGTTAATCGATTATCAACGGCGATTTTTCAAAAATCTGACCGTTACAGAGACGTTGGAAATGCATTTAAATCACCTTTTGAACTCCCCAACGGATCTCCAGCCCTCTCCTTTATAAATTGGTGATATCCATTCCATTTTTACTCATTCCAATCAACTCTTCTCAATATTTTCTTCATATTTCATCAATCCCTACAATTTTCCTTCATTTTCTCTGCAAATTTGCCTTTCTTCTCTTTTCTTTCTCTTGATCAAATGGCAGGCGGACAAAGAAAGCGGTCCCACACCGGAAAGAACGTTGCCTCCTCCTCGGCTCCTCCACCACCGGTGCACAAGTATCTCGACGGGTCGTTCCTTTGGTTCAACGACCACGCAGAGGCGACGCGGTTCTCGGAGAAATTTGAGCACCGGGAGATTCTCCCTCCCCGATTCTCCACCGCCCGCTTCATTCATGACTCCATTCCACGTGAGGCACGGGTTATCCTTGAACGTTGAAACTTCCTCGATCTCCTCTACATCAAGAAGGTCAATTATCAACCTTTTCTTGTTCGAGCTTTTTATTCGAACTTGAAAAAGGATGAGGACAGATCGTTGATTTCAAACGTCAACGGAGTGGACATTTATTTGAATGAAGAGAACATTCAAATCCTCACCGGGCTTCGTCGGGACGGACAGGATCTCGGGCTCTACACCGGAGAAGAGGGGGCGCGGTTCAATGAGACCGCTCTCTTGGAGGAAGTGGGCATCCGTCACTTCGTACCCACTCCCCAACAGCGGCACCCTACGATTTCTTCCATGAGTCCCGTGTATCGTTTCATCTTCTATGTGTTGACACGGATCCTCAAGCCCAGGAAGTTCAACCACACCAATCTCTCCCAAGAAGACACGAAGATGATCCATGCGATGATTCACAACGCCAATCTCAATTAGTGTAAATTTGTGATGACTCACATGTTCACGGCCACCTCCGACAATCGGCCGCTCCCCTACGCCCTCCTTGTCATGGCAATTCTTGAAGAATACAACATCAAAACCGATGTTGGGCCAAAGATAAAGGGGACAAAGCATTGGGAGATTGATGAATCTTCTTTCCACTCGGGCACCGACGAGACCCCGTTTCGACAGCCTCGTCCACGCCGACAACCAAGAGCCACTGCCTCAGCC